ACCCTGAAGATGGTGTAGAGCTGGTCCAGTGTTCCACGGCCAGGACGAAAACTGCATTGTTCCTCCTGAATCCGAGGTTCGACTATCGGTTGAATCCTCCTCTCCAGTACCCTGGCATAGACTTTCCCGGGGAGGCTGAGGAGTGTGATCCCCCTATAGTTGGAACACACCCTCTGGTCCCCCTTCTTAAAAAGAGGGACCACCACCCCGGTCTGCCAGTCCAGAGGCACTGTCCCCGACCGCCATGCGACGTTGCAGAGGCGTGTCAGCCAAGACAGCCCAACAACATCCAGAGACTTAAGGTACTCGGGGCAGATCTCATCCACCCCCGGTGCCTTGCCACCGAGGAGCTTCTTGACTACCTCAGTGACTTCAGCTTGGGTGATGGACGAGTCCACCTCCGAGCCCTCAGCCTCTGCTTCCTCATCGGAAGACATGGCACTTTTAAAATAAAGTGCCAACAATTCCAGTCTACTACCAGTTCTGCCGAATGAGTAATGCCACTATCACTGCAACTCAGATGTTTGAGAAACATCAGAAGGACAACTTCAAGGGTTGCATGAACGCTCTGAATAGTCAGATTACTCCTACAGATACGCACCTCATCGATCATTTTCATACACTGATATGCCACCAAACTAGCTGCATTCCAGTTATATTAGTGATGTGATGGCCTTGTGTTTTTGGTCAGACAGCGACGTGTAACATGCTGCACTAAAACCTAAATTATTTATCTTTTTGACTAATAAGAGGGGAATGGTAGATGTTGCTATCATTTGCAATACTTTTTTCTAGCTAATTAATGTGGTGTAAACAGCCAATGTTTGGGTCAGGCAGCAACATACAGTAAATATGTGCTTGTGATAATTATCGTACCATGGTTTGGTTGAAAAAAGTTTCATATTTCCATGTTCTGATTACAGACAGGCGGCTCAAATGTATGAGTCTGAAATCATCTTTTGTGTGACTGCAGTGCAGCTATTTTTTGCCAAATCAATAAATACAGGAAATAAATATTAATGTTCTTTTATTAATGATCTATTAAGTATGAATGAATACCCCCTGATGGTCGAGTGACTAGGATTCAGCACTTTTGCTGCTGTGGCCTGGGTTCAATTCAGTTGGTATGCTACTGCATTTGTAATTTCACGCCACTTTGCACTTTTTTTTTCGTACGGCACACCACGGTTAAATGCAGTTTGCAACTGGCTTTGTGTCGAGGTGGACGGCAGGCAGGAGGACTTTAATTCTGGCGGCTTAGATGGGGGGGGAGGAGGGGGTGATGCCGAAGTTTCATGTACTCCTCGTACTGGAGTTTGTGGCGTTGCTGTAAATGGTGGTACAGATTTGTTGTGCTTCCACATTTGGACGCAACTTCTTTGTGACACAGTGTTTTTTTTTTTTTTTTTGCTCGACATCATCTCTTCTGAAACCAAACCACTTCCAAACTAACGAACCGGTGCTTTTCTTATTACATAACAGAACTTCGTCACTCGCTGACTTCCACTGGCCGCAAGCGCAGTGGAAGAGTGTGTGTGTGTGTGTGTGTGTGAGAGAGAGAGAGAGAGAGAGAGAGAGAGAGAGAGAGAGAGAGAGAGAGAGAGAGGAGGATAGACTCTCGTCTCGTCCTTTAACTATATACCGCGGTATAAACGGTATTGCGTAATTCTACACCGCGTTTAAAATTATATCGATATACCGCCCAGTCCTACTGGCATTGATGCAGTCATGATGTGATCTATGAGTAACCATGACAAAATTCAAATCCCCTAAATTATACTAAAGCATCTTCTTTAAGTGGTGACCCTTAATAAAGCTGTAGTATAACCAACATGAGACCCCTGATGTGACTTGGTGACATCACAGTATATGAGTAGAGTTACTGAATATTTTTCCCAATAAAAACTCACAAAAATTATGCAAGAGCATATTTTTCCAAACCAAGTATTTTGTTAAAGGCAGCAAGCGACAATTAATCCGTGCAGTGATTTTGGTGGGACAACAATATATAAAAGTGGAGTTATTGAATATTTTAATAGGAGCTATTTTCCGTGTTGTACTTTGCAGACGGTCCCTGCGCACTCGTGCCAGCTGCATATTGAGACCAATGTAGTTTGTCTGCAACGTAGGACAGCTCGTTTAATTAAAAAAATGGTTGTAGCTTGTTGTCCACCTTACTACAACACTAAAGAGGTCTCGTTTGTGTTTTAACAACGCTTCGCTTTTGAGGTATTGATCCGGAAACTTCGAATCTATGAATATCTTTCCTACTTTCCCAAAAATCTATTCTGTAAGCGCCTGCAATGCAGCTCTGTAAACTGTTCTGATGCCAACGTACTTTATGGGAATACTTTAAAAATTGGAGCAACAGCCATGTACATGTTTACATGTGGCACCTAATAGGATCTGAAGACATGACCTTTAACGTTAGATATCATACCTGTGAAATGGCTTAATGATAACTCTCGTTAGAACAAACGCCGTGTGCATTGTTAGCCAGTAAAGAAAAGAAAACTGTGACATGACAGCCCTGATATGAATCCTGTAGTCATCGACAATTCATGATCAGCTGTCTCTAAAATAAGAGAACGCGGACAAAGATAAGAGCGATTCCAAATGCAGACTACTTTTGAAAATAAAATAATTTGACAATTTGCTTACCATCGCCTCAAGCTTATCAACTGTTGTCTCCATGTTGAATAGTTTTTAGCCTGATGCGGACTTTATGATTGGCCAGCCGTCAGGAATGGAGAAAGCCGATTGGGTGTCTTCTTCCCTTTGTTTTCTGGCGGATTGCGAACCAGCGATTAAAGTGCACACCGCCACCTACTGCATCGGAGTGTATAGAGTCACCGCATTTAATTTTCTCTGGGGATAAAAGAGATCCTATAGCCTACTTACTAATAATCCCATCTTTATAATAAATTGGATTAACCCCCTTCTAATTGCCTGAAACTCTTTCTCTGGACTCAGTAGTGATTTTAAACTGCACCCATGTCCTGTGCAGAATAATTCTTTGAGCTGTTTTGCATTAAGCGATTTCTGTACTTTAGAGTCATGTCTCCCTTTAATATCTGAGTCTTATTCTCTCTGCCTAACCTAATTGCTGACTGTCTGTCTGGGATCCATTAAAAACACTTCTATCGCTAACATGTTTAGTGATTAAAACTATTTTCCCTCAGTGTTTTTCTTATGTTTATATCCCTTAAATACCTGTCCTCCACTATACTGACTGGTGTATGCTCATAGTTTATCACTAACAGGATTATTATATCCCGCTGCTCAGTGGCACCTGCAGCTGTAGTCCTGTACACACCGTGCATACATTTTTACATATTTTAATTTTATTTTAGGGAAGTCTGGGCATCTTTGCTTAGACTGCTGCCCCCGCGACCTGGTTCCAGATAAGTGGAGGAAAATGGATGGATGGATGATTTTATTTTACGCCACTGCATCTGGCAGTCAGCGTCCAATAGAGAAATTAAGTTTCACATTTATTGTTATGAATGCTCGAACATACACTGAGTGAGCGAAAAAAAAAAACGAACTCAGGTAGCTGACTTCGGTGCAAGCAGTGAGGTTTATTTACAGTGCAAGAATAGTGATCTCTCTCTCTCTCTCTTTATATATAAATATATATATATAGACATTAGCTCTTTTCTCACGGTGCATGTGGGACCTTGTTTCCCACCATAATATGGGTACCATTATAACTAGGCTAATGAGGCCCAGTACACAGAGAAGCATACCAGGACAACTGTCTAAACTTGTCAGACTAGGCATTTTGTCTGCTGTCCCTGTCAACGTTTTTGTTCTTTGATAAATGTTACACTAATGCAGGTCCTATTCTAACTGTAGCTTTGGTTCTACAGGACTGTATATCAACTCAGGTAACTGGGTTCCTCTGGTTGGTCCCTGCTCAGGATTTCAATAACCTGTTCAAAGCCACTCATCACAGCGTTGTTCAATTGTCTGACATACTCACTCATGTCAGCATGCTGTAAAAGAAGAGGTTTTAAATCTCTAGACATAAAAGTTAGAGGGAAACACGTTTCCTAACTGTGCATATGACAAATAAACACTTTGACCTTTGACCGTTGAACAGTTAGAGGACAGGGCATCTTTCTCCCTGTCAGGATTTCATGTGGGCTTACATTAAGTGTCGCATTCGAGTGGACCTGAGGTTGAACAATACAATAGGTAGAGCTTCAACCAAGGTAAGTTAGTGTCTGCGTAGACTTCCACGAGCCCTTCTTTTATGGTTCTGTTTGCACACTCAACAAGGCCTTGAGAGGCTGCATGATAGACAGCCCCAAACTTGTGTTTTATCCCAAACATCTGTTCAACCAGACGTACACCATCGTTTGAGAAGTGTGTTCCATTATCAGATCTGATAATCTCAGGTACCCCAAATTGAGGGATCACTTCTCTAGTAAGCCACTTGATTACCTCTTTTCCAGTCTCTGTTTTTGTGGGTACAGCCTCTACCCACTTGGAAAACGGATCCACACAGACAAGTAAATATCGTTTCCCTTCAACTCTTTTATCAAC